CTTGACTCAAGATGGACTATATTCTAAAGGCCATTGAAAATCTAATATTGGTTCCAACTCTGGATTTCACGTTTATTCAAATTACTGCTTTAGTCAAGGACCATTGGAACTGGGTAAGTCCCACTGCATAACAGATTCAGGGTAAGCATTTTCCCTTTTGAAAGCATCAAGCAATGTGGTCTTGGGGTGGTTATCTAGGGGGATGTCCTTGAGTGTCATGGATCCTCTGCTTCCTGCCTCAGTGACCTAGCAGAGCTGGATTAACTCCCAGGAGTGTGGTGTGCTGGATGCTGATCCTTTGCATTCTTCTCAGTGTTGAATTACCCTAGTTTTGTAGGTGATTGATTTTGCATTATAACACTTGCCTTTCTAATCATTTTCTAATGCTTGGACTGTTTGAGATGTGATTTTTCTGTAGTTTTATTTGAATTCATAATTGTGATTAATTATAAAGTTAATTTAAATACTGCAAGCCCCTGACTTAAGGTCCAGTATCTTTCAGATTATTAGAGATCACTGGCCGTCAGCTCTTTGATTTCTTAATCACCAGGTTTTTATTTGAAAGAGGATCTTAGAAATGGACTGTAACACTGATTGCTATGAAGTAACCTCTAATTTTAGCAAAGAAGCAAGTTTCTTTAAGTGGCATCTCTGCTTTCCCCATCCCAGACACACGGCCATTAGAGGGCAAGGTTGGTAGGTTTGAGTAGAGGACAGATCTGGGTTTACTTGACTCAAGATGGACTATATTCTAAAGGCCATTGAAAATCAATATTGGTTCCAACCTGGATTTTCACGTTTATTCAAATTACTGCTTTAGTCAAGGACCATTGGAACTGGTAAGTCCCACTGCATAACAATTCAGGGTAAGCATTTCCCTTTTGAAAGCATCAAGCCAATGTGGTCTTGGGGTTTATCTAGGGGGATGTCCTTGAGTGTCATGGATCCTCTGCTTCCTGCCTCAGTGACCTAGCAGAGCTGGATTAACTCCCAGGAGTGTGGTGTGCTGGATGCTGATCTTTGGCATTCTTCTCAAGTGTTGATTACCTAGTTTTGTAGGTGATTGATTTTGCATTAATAACATGCCTTTCTAATCATTTCTAATGCTTGGACTGTTTGAATGTGATTTCTGTAGTTTATTTGAATTCATAATTGTGATTATTAATAAGTAATTTAAATACTGCAAGCCCTGACTTAAGGTCCAGTATCTTTCAGATTATTTATTTTTTATTAGTTTTATTTATATTTATTTTGAACAGTCTCACTCTGTTGCCCGGGCTAGAGTGCCGTGGCATCAGCCTAGCTCACAGCAACCTCAAACTCCTGGGCTCAGGCGATCCTTCTGCCTCAGCCTCCCGAGTGGCTGGGACTGCAGGCATGTGCCACCATGCCCCGGCTAATTTTTCTATATATATTAGTTGCCAATTAATTCTTTCTATTTATTAGTAAGAGATGGGTCTTGCTCTGCTCAGTGGTTCTGAACTCCTGACCTCGAGTAGTCCGCCTGCCTCTGCCTCCCGGAGTGCTAGGATTACAGGTGTGAGCTACCGTTCCCGGGCTTTCAGATGATTTTAAATTCATACTTCTTAAAAAGGTTTTTGATTAGAAAAACCTGATTTGGAAAAAATATTCACCTAAGAATGTAGTTAGAATATCACCTCTAAAGTAGACATTGTTGAGAACATTCACCTTCAAGTAAAGTTTCTCCTGAAATTTATTTTAATTTTCAAATAATGGTAATCCAGAAAAATGATCTGTTTCCATACTAACTGCAAGAGCCAATATATTGGTCTGTCTTTCAAAATGTAAGATTCTAAAAATAAGATCAGATATTTCTGAGTTGTTTAACCTAGAGAACAAGAATTTTATGGGGGCTTACATTTAGTCTTTAGTTATAATTCATTACTTTGAAATACTCTTAATGGAAGTACTGCTACCCTTGTTAAGCTTCAAGGGGAAGCTTTGAGGTCTAAGATTTGGGGAAGCTCCTCCTCTCTGCTTATGAGAAGTTAATAGTGCTTCTTATATTGAGTCATTCATGTTGTGCTTGTATTCAGTA